CAAAATAGCATTAAGAAAACCTAGCAAGAAAGTCTGTCTTCAGCAACTGATCTCAACAAGTTGCTAAAAAGGAAAATGAACAGTTAAGAAAAAATACATTTTGAAACCATAATTTTCAAAAGGCAGTAATTTTCCTGAAACTGCTATCTCAGACTAGTACTAAGGAATAACAGCAATGAAATTACTTTTTAATTCGTAATATTTCAAAACCGAATTCAATTGTTAAAGAGTCATTAAGTCACACACCTTTAATTGTCTCCCCTTTAGCTAAATTTCTATTCCCTTCCCCTCGACAGAATGCAGCATGGCTCCAACTTGAATGTAAGTTCTTTGAAGACAAATTTTATCTCTTAACATCCTCTCATCCCTGCAGACTCCTTTGCCCCCTCCCCCCCCCAAACAATCCAAAGTGGTATGTGCAGACCACAGGCTCACCAAGTCTTACTGATCCTCTTGTGCTCTTTATTGAATACTACGCATATTTACGGAGGGCAGAAATGTCAATGACATCTTCACATCTAATCAACAACGGCATTCAATACATTTGAGAAGTGTTGTGATTAGAGTAACAGCCTTCCCCAAAGATGTGCATGTTCTAACCTCTGCTCCTTGAGGCTATGTCACCTTGCATAGCAAAATGAGCCTGCAGATGTGACTAAGGACCTTCAGATGGGAGGTGGTCCTGGAATATCTGGGTAGATTCCTAATTGTAAAGGGTCCTTAAAAAGGGTCCCTGGTGGGGCAAGGGGCTGAAGCACAGCACTATGAAGCTATCTGCAACAGTCTGATCCCCAGCCAGGGAGCTGACCCACATGATGCAGCAGACCTTTCCTGTCTTGCCCGCTGCTCCCCTCAGCAGTGTACTTCAGTAGATCTGCTTGTTCTGCTCCCCACTCTGTCTCTGGGGAATTCTCTCACCACCCAAACCCCCAACCCTGCCCCTCTGGCCTATACCCCAGCTTCTGTATACTGGGTATACATAGTTATTTGTAAATAAATGAATCTTAACAAAAAGGTGGAGGAGGAGGGTAAGGGAGGAAGGGAGGGACAGACGGAGGGAGAGAGAGGGGGAAGAGAGAGAGAGAGAGACTGCTGACTCTGAAGATGAAAAATGGGGCCACGAAGCAATTTGTGCAGCTGGGCTCTAAAAGCTAGAAAAGGCAAAGGCCCTTTCTCTCCCAGAATCTACAAAAGAACAGTGTCCTGGCCCTCCCTGGTGGCGCAGCGGGTTAAAGCACAGCACTGAGAATCTAAAGCCGCTTCCGCATGAGTTCAATTCCCGCTTGCCCCGGAGTTGACCACATGGTGCAGCAGACCTCTCCTGACCCGCCCGCTGCTCCCCTCAGCAGTGTACTTCGCCGATCTGCCTGTTCTGCTCCCCACTCTGTCTCTGGTGAAGCCTCTCACCGCCCCTGAGCCTCTGGCCTGTACCCCAGTTCTGTATGCACAAATAAATAAATCTTTAAAAAAAAAAAAAAAAGAACAGAGTCCTGCCAGCACCCAACTTCGTACTTCCAACCTCCAGAGCTGTACAAGGACACACCTGCAATGTTTAGGACACAGCGTTATTATAATTGGTTCTATCAGCAGTAGGAAACTACTATAGGAAATGTGCTAGTATTTTAAAGTCTGTGGTACTGATACTCTAGGTGGAGGAAGCAATATCTCAACAAAAGTTCTTGGGAAGGCACAAGGAGTAAGAAGAGCATCAGAAGAAAGGAAGGTGCCTGAGTCAGGCCATCAGAACGGGTCTCCCTGAAATGCCTGGCATGTAGAGTATTTTGAGCAAAGGGCAATGAAAACTGAGAAGCAGAGGAGAAGACTTTTGCCTTTTCTCGAGTCTTCCATCCTTCCCTAAGATGGAAGGAGACAGTCACTCCATTTCCTAATAAAAAAAAACCAGTCACTACTCCTCTCTTTATTGACCTAGAAAAATCTAGTTTGGGAAGGTACCTCCAGGTGAAGATTTATCCCTACATACACCTTTCCTGGATGCCTAAGGCCCCTCAAAATTTATGCCATTTTCAGCCTACCCAAACTGAGAAAATGTATAATCACTGTAGCTCCCCTGTGCACATTATTAAAGTGATTGCTTGTCCTGCCTGGTGCCATTTCATTTACTGGTCTAGCCCAAGAAGAATGCAGAAGAGTAAGTGATGTCCCCCTGTGTCCAAACAAGGGATGGCCTTAGCTCCTTTGTAGTGGAAGGGAAGGAGGAAGTGAGAATTGAGGTTGATGTGTGGCCCCTATAGTGGAAAATGAAGTCATTTCAAATGATGGTTTTTATTATTTCAATGCACTGCTTAACACAAACAATTTGACACAGTCTCAGGAGCCTTGCCAACACAGCAGTCCATAAAGCTGTAGGCACTACAAACTAATCTGGATTGATAGTTGAGATGAAACTGATTTGCCAATTCTGACCTAGGACTATTTTTTTTTTTTTTTAAGATTTATTCATTTATGTGTAAAGGAAGTGGAGTGCAGGCCAGAAGTTGGGGGGCAGGGGGTTAGGTTGGGCGGGGGGAGAGGACTCATCACAGAGTAAGGAGCAGAACAGGAAGATCTAGTGAAGTACACTACTGAGGGGAGCAGTGGGCCAGACAGGAGAGGCCTGCTGCACCATGTGGGTCAGCTGCCCAGTGCTGGGGAACTCTGACTGTAGGGGAGAGGTGGGGAACTCTGACTGTAGGGGAGATTGATATCACTGAGCCTTAACCCTGAGGCCCTGAGGGAGGGCCTATCACTCTTTTTTAAATCTCTTCTTCCCAGAGGAAAAAATGTGGAGATGAGTATTAAAATGTAATTGAGAAGCAAATGGATGAAAATAGTGGTGAAAAGTCTGCAAGGAGACAGTGAGTGGGGTAAATTACACCGTGGACGATTAAGCAACCTTTAAAAAGTATGAGCTATTGATAGAATTGTAGTACTGATGAGACATATTTCTAAGATATGTTGTTATACTAAAAAGCAGTTCCAGAACAATTATACAGATAGTTCACTTATGATTGTTGAAATAAAACCATGTGTATGCATGCACATTTATATCTGAAAGCTTTAAAAGTATGGGAGTATAACGGAACAGCAGGAGTATAACGGAACAGGTGAGAAAATAATAATAATAATGATGATGATGAACAGCTATATACCAGAGACATTTTATAGGGGTGGAATGGGGAATGGGATCAAAAACAGTGGGGGGAGGAAGTACACTGGACTGTGGTGATGGCACAAAGGTGATTTGGTGATGGGAAGCCCACGGGGAGTACAACTGAGATGGAAAAAAGTCACAAAATGATATAAAAATAAACTATTATTTAAAAAAAAAATAAGTATGAGAGTGAGCCTAGGGGCTTATAAAATGCTCCGAGCAGGGGTAAGGAAAATTTCGTTGTGTACTATAGATGCTTTTATATTGAATTGTTTATAACTTTCTTTTTTAATTTCCTTTTTTAAAAAAGTAGAAAAAAAAGATGAAACACCTGGGCTCTTTCATAGTCAGACCTCTTTGCATTTAATCCGACAATTCAAGCAATATTCTTTTTACGGGTGCGCCTCACTGAAGGACTAAAGAAGGTAACTGTCCTGCGTGGGACAGAGGGAAACTGTAAGTGTCCCCAGCTTTACATGTCATTCACTCCCACCCCACCTCCGTAGCTACTCCCTTTTTCTTTGGCCTGTCACTCATTCCACTGCTTTAAAATCCTATTTGTACTTTCACTTCCTTGAATGAGTCACTCTTTGTAAACACTGTAACTAATTGACAATATCCTCATCATAACCTTTTCTCTAATTGTCCCCAAATCTGACTGTTAAAATTATTTTTTCTTCCTATTATTTATTATACTTCTAATAATGTTCCTACTTGTGTTCATTTTATATCATGGATCTCCTCTCCACAAACCTACTAAGATTATTTTCTTTGTTACACATTATCTTTTTCTTTAACTTCCTTAGTCTCATTATCTTTAGTTTTTACTCTACCTGTACTTTAATTTCCTATTATAAAGTTTGCCCTTTCCTGCTTCTATAGGTAAAGTTCTGTGAAACCCAGTAATTGTATCTATTTACCTATTATATACGTATTTCATTTCCTTCCATAAAAGAATTATTCTCAATCATTATGATCTCCAAACACTCCCATCCATGCTTCCCCTTCCTGCCCATACATTCCTTAAAGATTCTAAACTACATCAAAATGACACTCCTCTTGCCAGTCATTGTCCACTCTCCATGAATATTTCCCACCCCTTTTTTGAGAACCTAGAATACAGCAGGGACACCCTAAGCACCATTTAAACAAATGAACTCATGTAGTCTGCACTTGCCTGTTGAAATGGGTAATTATGCCCATTACAAACAGGTATAAAGTGAGAACCAGCAAGGTCATGACCTTGGCCTAGGTCACACATTTGGTTAGTGTCAGAGGCAAGATCCAATGCCATGCAGCTGGCTCTGGAGTCCATGCTGGTGGTTGGTGGCTGTGTTGTTCTCTAGCACAAAGTTAAACAGTTTGTGTTTCTGAGGCAAAGTTAAGCACTTCTTTCTCTTTGCTCCAGGAACACCATGGATTCACCTCTAATTTGACACTCAGCATTTCACACTGCTAGTTATCGGTATCCTAAAACAGATACAAACCTCTTTCAAGTGAGATATTGCCCATCTCTCTATCCTTAAACCTGTACTTGTACCTGGTATTACAAGGTATTTCAGTTACAGGGTAAAGAGTAACACAAATCCCTGCATTTTTAACAGCATTTCAGTCCCACTATCCCACACACTGTCAAGGTAAGGCCAACTCAGTGACAACTTGCATTCCAACGGCAGGCTCTTGTCTTAAAAACATGACAAGAACATAAAACATAAAAATAGTTTTAGAGGAGCTGTCATGAAATAGAAGTCTATTCCAACAGTAAATTTAAGGTGGTATCTATCCTAAGACAAGAAAGTGGTAGACTTTTTAAATCACCAACAGTACAATGCCAGGATTCTAGAATTACCTGAAAGCGCGTCATAGAATTCGTCCTCACTAAAGATGCTGAGAGGTGGTGAGCCTTTAACCAGAGACTGCTCTAATTCATGATGTTCTGTGGCCAGAGTCTCTAATGCTTCTGACAAAATTTTGTTTTTTTCCTGTTCTTGTTCCAATTTAAAATTCCTCACCTAGAAGAAAACATACACAAAAGAATTCAGCGTGACTGGAAATGACATTTGCTTTCAATCTAGTTCAATTGCAACAACAGAAAAGGAAACAGTCATATTATATACACATGGATGAATGAGCAAAATTACTAATTTTGTTCTTCCCATGGGGCCTTTCCTCGCAATAGCTCTAGCTAAGGAAAACAGATTAAGAGCTTGCATATAAATTCAGATCAAATGATTAGGATCCTAGTATAAGAACATCAGCCAACTCAGAAATCACATAAACATTTTTTGAAACATTTTTTGAGTACATCTCTCAATAACCATGGAATTAAGAAGTCAGCAAGTTTTTGAAAAAAAGATTAAAGTCACTCTAAAATGTTAAAGTGTGTACTTAAAGCATAAGCTATAATCGTCCAGCTCACTTCTTAAACAGACAATACAGAGGTGAAGAAAACAAGATGGCAAGGTTAATGGTTAATGTAATAACACTTTCATTTCCAAATTGTGGTTCCTTATTTTGGCTTTGTTTTTACCCTGAAATTAGTATACTTACCCTGAAATTAGTATACTTAAAAAAATATATAGATAAGGTAGCCTGCTTTTGTTCTCCAGCCTATGAAGGAAAGTCTATTTCTCTCATTCAAGAGATACTGAATCTTTGCAGTTGACTGAAACCTTCTAAAATTTAAGTGACCTAATGTTCATATAAAATTGCAGGTGCTGGATTTGGCATAGACAGTCTCACTTATTACTATGAGAACTCTGAAAATCACAGCTATTCTGTACTCTCCCTAAAGTAGCTGCATGTGGAACTTTGAAGAGTTGGATCTACTATCATCCACTAAGTTCTCTCAAAAAACTCTTGTTCCTCACTTACAAAATAAGTGTTCTACTATCATGTCATCTAACCAGCATCTTCAGCTCAGAGTTGCTCAAAACTTTAGTAACAGAACCTATGCTCACACATGACCCCATCACATAAAACAGGTGTTTGAGAACCAGAACTGTGCTAACCACACTGGGTAAGGATTAGGAGCCTCTCTGACCTTCTCCTCCCCATCCTTCCTAAGGTCAAGCCAATGTCCCAGGGACTGTTCCAAGGGTACAGGGTGAGGAGACTCTGAAGCCTCTGCAGACTGCCTCTGGGTCTGAGGGGTGGTAGCACTCTCTTATCACCCACTCAGAATGGCTCTCTGTTGGATCCTACCCTCTCACTTCCTGACTCCCTGATTCTTCCTCCTCCTCTCAGCAATCCCAGCTGCCAAAGATGAAAGAGACTCCTCTATTCTAACTCTAGATTACTCTGTGGCTGGAGTTCCTGAGAGCTACACATTAGCCCCAACACTTCAAAAGTCCCAGATTGAACTTAAAATAATGGTTTTGTTGAAATGTGTAGTTCATAACAGAAAGAGTTAAAACTTTATTATCTTAGGAATAGTTTCAGTCCTCAAGCACCTCACTATTTATGGTTAAAACAAGATTATAGGGTCCTCTCTGGTGGTGCAGTAGGTTAAAAGCACAGCACTCTGAAGCTATCCACAGCCACTGCAGCTCAAATTCAATCCCCAGGCAGGGAGGTGACCACAACATGCAAAACTGAAAAAGAAATGCTTAGAGAATTACACTTTTCAGGAAACTGCAAATCACATGCAAATATTCCTAACATTTAAATTTTATCTCCTGAAAAGTAAACACTCTTACCATGATTGGAATCAACTTAAAAAATAAGCTTGTCTTTCCTTCATTTGAACAGATAGACAATTCATTTATCTATAAACCAGGACTACAGAACTAAGCAGAATATCCAAAGTGAAGCATGCACTGACTAGGAAAGACTTTGCGTGCTCCTCTAGAAGTGCATTCCAAAATCGCCACCTCAAGGTTCCAGCTCTCAGCCATCTGCCCACCCTTCTCCCTGGGAGCCTCAGCTTGGGGTTTTCACATATCAAAATGGAGACCCACTTCTAACACCATCTTTTCATGTAAGAGTCAATTAAATGATCCCGTCTAGCTAACAAATGCATGCACTTTTAAATAGAACTTCATCCAGATTTCAGCAAAGTGGCAAAATAACAAGATTTTATTCAAAACCCAATTTATCCTTTATCTAAAATAAGTTTCCTTTTACTTCTGCCACCTCAACATCTGTTCTCACTTGTTCTTCAGAGGAGTGAAAGGAGCAGGAAGCAGAAGGGGGAGAAGCAGCTCTAACCTTGTTTTAGTTCTTACCTTGCATTTGTCTTTAAATTGATCTGAGCACACTTGTGTGTCAGTTTCAAGAATTAACAGGATATTCTTGCACTGAAGATAATTTACTCTATCTACCCACAAAATGCAATTTCTCCTGTCATGTAAACTAGTAAATCTGAGACAGAAGTAATGCATCACAAAAACTGCTAGTAAAGAGCTCTTTCGGTGGTGCTTTAGAGTAAGTAGTATCTAGGAAAAATACTTAAGTCTATCTGATATGTTTTAGTCAAATAGAAAAGTCACTGAAACAATGTAATGTCAAATCTTCTAAGTCCCAAAGTTTTAATATTACAGTAGCAGGTACATCTAAGTATTAGTGTATAACTACAAATAAACTTGTAAGATACAAATTCATAAAATCCACATTTTACCTAACTGTTGCCAAATTGTCATTTACTAGCTTAGAAACCTTGTTGTAATAGAAACAGTACCTTTTATGCAATGCCTATTTTCAATTCCAGGCACAGGGCTTCATGTCTATTATGTGTCAATACAAATATGTCAATTATGCATTTCAAATTGTTAAACTATGATAATTGTCCTAGTTAATATTAAAACAAAGAATGTCCTACACAAAACTAATGGTGCCCAACATATGTACTTATTAGAACATTATACATTATACAGTGCTCTATACATTAGAACATTTCTAGAATACGATTGATGGTTTATTTTCAAATTCACATTATAAAATTTAAACTCAGTCCCACAACTTTCCCACACAAAAATGAAAATGTAACCAAGTCAAGCTTGACATAAATGTCAAACTTTTTATTCAGAAAAAATAACTGAATTGCTTTGTACTTCACACCCCGTGATGAGTACACACACGTACACACACACACACACACACATATATCTACTGCTCTGTGTCTGCAGTCCTTAAAATTAATGTCACTGTAAGCCTTTGTAGGAGTCTCCACAAATTGCTTGAACCTGATAATCTTTCAATTTACTCCACCTCATGCTGACAGGTGAAAGTTACAATGGATATTTCCAAAGTTTTCTTCACACCAAAAGTGAATGTATGCCAGCAAAAGAACCTGGAGTTTTAAAATAACCACAAGCTAGAAAGTAAGTAAAAATCTTATCTCCTCTCTCATTCTACAAAGTATCCTGTATAGGCAGCAACAGTAACTAAGTCTAGCAAAGACATACCCCTCCGTGGGAATAAATGGTATTCACAGAAACTATGTGCATTTATCCCATTGTAGGACAGATGGCTTTTTCAAAGCATAAACCTTACTCACGCCTTCTTTGAGACTGGATATATGGCTACTGATAACAGAGAATATATTAGCTTGAGAGCGAATTATGAGACTTTAGTTTAAAAGTTTAACTTCATCTCTCAGGTAGGAGTTACAGGGATACTTATTTCTGTGATAACAGGACCAACAATTACGTACTTCAAAAAGTTTAAAAGATATGCATTTTAGGTGACTCCTTCTCATGCCACAATATTGTTCATAAAAGAGTCTGCTATTTACATCTGACTAGGGCTCCTCTGCTCACAGAAGACCAGTGCACTGTTTTGTGGTGGGGGGAGGAAGGAGCTCTCATATGAGTACAAAAGATAAATGTTACTTCTGACAGGCAGAATCACTCTTTCAGCCCCAGGATCCAAGAAAATTAAGATTTGATCCCATGTCTGGGGCACAGTCAGTATGGAAACCTAATCTCTTGATATATTTGCTTTATTTTACAGATTACAAAGCATATTTGCATACATTACATTTTAGGGTTTTCATTAATTGTAATGCCCTTCTGTACTATTCCATCACTGCTTCTTCAAGCGTAATGAATTTCCTTATGTTCCTGAAGCCTTTTTTCAGTCATTTCTAACACTTAAAAAAAAAGACATTTAAAAATACATATGCATCAGTGGCCAAGGCAGATTTGGCAGATAGAAGGAAATGGAGATGATGTAGGATGTGCAAGTAGGTTGTGGGTGGGGAGAGGGGGCTGCAAAGAGTTTACAGATCACAGTAAGAAGTCCAGTTTTAACTGAGTGATATGAGAAGCCAGTGGAGGGTTGTGAGAAGAGGAGTATTATTATTTGCTCTGGATTTTAGTATGCTCTCCCAGGATATGAGGCGGCCTAGGGGGAGGTCAAGAGTAGTAGAAAAAAATATCCCCCACAAGGCTACTGCAACAGTTCAGATAAGAGCTGGGTAATGGTACTCTGGAGAAGTAGGATTCTGGATATATTGTGCAGGCAGGCCTAAATGATTGACTAACAGACTGACTATAGGATTATTAAGGATAAGCCATGGTTTTGGCCTGAGCTACTAAAGACAGAGTAATTGTGACCTAGCAGAAGACAGTAGGAGGAACAGGAATAAGGTTCTCAGTTCCCTATGAGGCAGTCTGAGGTATTAAGCTGACTTCTTAGTATCATATCAGGCATTCAGGGAAGAGATCCAGTCTGGAGATATAACTCAGGGAGTCACTTGCAAACAGATTATACTCTAAACCATTAGACCAGGTAAATACACTGATGGAGAAAATGAGATAGAAATGGGATGGAGGGCCAAGGACTGAAATTTCCTTCTAATAAGAAGAGAGATGAGAAAAAATAAACAAATGAAAAGAGCAGATGAGAAAAAGTAAAAGCAAAAGTGGATAGTATCCTGGAAGTCCAAAAGAAGTATTTCAAAGAGGAAAAAGTGGTCAACTTTGATGACGAAATAATATGAAAACTAAGAAAAGACCTCTGGATTTGGTGGTGAGAGTGTTAATGGTCAACTTGACAGAGTTTCAGTGGA